TACAGTAGAGCCTCGAAAACTCGGCCTAATGTGGACCGAAGGGTGGTCGAGTTTGTGAAAATGCCTGGTTATCGGGAATGGGGTTAAAAAAAGGATAAGTATGCGTGTTTCCTCAGAAAATATTGTACTGTACTTGTATGTATTGTTTGCTCGAGAATACAACAGAGAATAAACTGCCCAAATACCCTTAAACAAAGAAAAAGTACGTCCTTTATGAAGGCATAGAGCCTTTACTAAATGAAAATTAATGAATACACTGTGTACAGTAATTTACCTGATAAGACAGACCTGAGAAAAATACTTTATGAAGCATAAAGCTGTCTATAATGAAAATTAATTATCTAAGGGTATTTTTGCCCTGCCAGGGTGTGGCCGAGTTATCCGGAGTGTCGGATTATCGAGTGCCGAGTTTTCGAGGCTCTACTGTACTATTTTTTCTGCCATAATAACTAACTTTTGTCTGTACCCCCTCCTAAACAACCTATGGAGTACCCCGGATTGGGAATCCCTGCTATAGGGGAAACGAATTAAAAAAAGTAATGGCCTAATTAGTACTAATTTCATTGCGGACATTATATTTTTAAAACAACACGTAGACGATTTTCAATCCGATCAACTTTCTTAGTAGCGAATTAGAATATGCAGATTGATCGCGTTGACGATCGAAATCGCACCAAATACTTGAAAATTGAGGCAGGTTTCATGTTTCAAATTTCATTTATTTTTCTTTTTTTATTTTATTCTTTTTAAGTCTTGAATACCTTTCATGAAAAGTATTTATTTATTTCTAGGATTTCGCAAACTTTAACAAATTTTTTCTTTGGGCCTACAAATGTATAATTTCTTAATGTAACAGTAATAGGAAAGCCATCCATACCATATTGAAAATAGACTTACATAAATAATGAGAATGTATTATTTTAATTTAAAAGATTTCACATGAATTCAAAAAGGAGTATTTTTAAAGTAATTTTTGCCATAAATGTTTATAATTAATTTAACTTCACTTAATTCTTGTGATGTTAATGAGAACAATATATAAATGTATTTTATTATTTAAATATAATAAATAGTGGTGAGTGATAGTTGTAGTGTATTGATTTGACATCAGTGGCACATTATAGCTTCATGGAACCCAAACAAATTTGAATCCAGGCTCCATGTACAGTGTTGACTTTAGACTTTTTTCTCTTAGGGAATTGTTTGAGGGAATATTTTCTTAAAATAGATTGGTTTGGGGCCTCAGGCAATTGTCTTTTTGCTCATAGTATAATACACCATTGATTGATAACTGTTGAATGGGGCAAAAAGCATTTGATATTCTAATGAATGTTTAACAACTTACTCATGATACTATCGAATACTTTTAAAACAGAAAAAGTTACATAAAGACTATATTTATATCTGAACTGTTATGTAAACTTTAATAATATAGATCAAAGTTAGATTTTTGCTTTTTTACTCTGGTCTGTTTGGGATCAACTTTCCTGCTCCCTAAATAAACATGGAACATTCATATTAGGCAGATATTATATGGCCAGCTTGATGCAACATTTCTTCTGTTGGGTTCATTCATAAACGGCCTGCCCCATTTTAAAGTTTAAATCTGTCTCCCCTTTGGTGGTCAAATATGGTCTCTAGCCTCACCCCAAAAATCCACGGTTTTCTCTTCAAGATCTCTTCAATTCCATGATTCTTTTTATGGAAAAGTTACATTATGTTGTCAAAATAAAATACAATGAAGAAATCAGATTTAGTAACACATGTTATACTTGGAATATATTTTTTATGCCCATGAATTATACTTTTTTTCATATTGACTCTATGTGTCTTTGATGCAAACTATGGCAATTTTTATTATTGCTAATTTTCTTTAAATCCATTGGAAGATTTAATTCAGCAGTATCTATTCATTTCTCTTCCTCCCACTCCTCCAAAGTTATAAATATTTTAGGACTTCATCTGTTAATTATAGATAATAATTAATTTTATATTAAAAATTATTGGATAAATTGTGCTATTATTGTCCAGAGTCAAATTCCTTTAAAGTAGAGTTTTTCAATCATTCAAATAACTAAAGGAATTATTTTATTTTCAATACACCAATGTCAGCATTGATGTTTAACTAACAGTTTTTTAAAACTGTGTGTTTCTGTACAGCCAACATGCTGAACAAAGAGGATAACATGGATTATAAATAGCACTGTCACTTAACACAGCTCATTACTGATATTTCAATAAAATCAGCTAATTTAATGAGTAACTATAAAAATATCAATATAGTATTAAACACTATGTAAATTTTAAAAGTCCCAAATTTATTTAATTTATTAAAATATAACCATGTTTTTTACTTTACAGTAAATGATATTTTGTGGTATTTTCTTAAACACCCCCTTCTCTTAAACAAGAACACTTGGTTTATGGATAAACCCTTTATCTGAAACTTGGGCTGGTCAGAGTTCTGGCTGAAATATGCACTACTTAACTTCAGTTTGAGAATCACTGTGTTTAGCAAGGTTCAGCCAAAATTATAAAAAAACATTATGAGTTTAATTTTTTTATTTATAATATCTGAACATTTTCAGTGAAGTGTTTAGCCATTACTCACAAATAATAATTAGATTACTTTTAATAAATTTATAAAGTAATATTTGAATAAAATTACTTTCTAATAACCATTTTAAACTTATTTTAGTTGATTTTATTTTCAATCAGTAATTTACCTGATAAGACAGACCTGAGAAAAATACTTTATGAAGCATAAAGCTGTCTATAATGAAAATTAATTATCTAAGGGTATTTTTGCCCTGCCAGGGTGTGGCCGAGTTATCCGGAGTGTCGGATTATCGAGTGCCGAGTTTTCGAGGCTCTACTGTACTATTTTTTCTGCCATAATAACTAACTTTTGTCTGTACCCCCTCCTAAACAACCTATGGAGTACCCCGGATTGGGAATCCCTGCTATAGGGGAAACGAATTAAAAAAAGTAATGGCCTAATTAGTACTAATTTCATTGCGGACATTATATTTTTAAAACAACACGTAGACGATTTTCAATCCGATCAACTTTCTTAGTAGCGAATTAGAATATGCAGATTGATCGCGTTGACGATCGAAATCGCACCAAATACTTGAAAATTGAGGCAGGTTTCATGTTTCAAATTTCATTTATTTTTCTTTTTTTATTTTATTCTTTTTAAGTCTTGAATACCTTTCATGAAAAGTATTTATTTATTTCTAGGATTTCGCAAACTTTAACAAATTTTTTCTTTGGGCCTACAAATGTATAATTTCTTAATGTAACAGTAATAGGAAAGCCATCCATACCATATTGAAAATAGACTTACATAAATAATGAGAATGTATTATTTTAATTTAAAAGATTTCACATGAATTCAAAAAGGAGTATTTTTAAAGTAATTTTTGCCATAAATGTTTATAATTAATTTAACTTCACTTAATTCTTGTGATGTTAATGAGAACAATATATAAATGTATTTTATTATTTAAATATAATAAATAGTGGTGAGTGATAGTTGTAGTGTATTGATTTGACATCAGTGGCACATTATAGCTTCATGGAACCCAAACAAATTTGAATCCAGGCTCCATGTACAGTGTTGACTTTAGACTTTTTTCTCTTAGGGAATTGTTTGAGGGAATATTTTCTTAAAATAGATTGGTTTGGGGCCTCAGGCAATTGTCTTTTTGCTCATAGTATAATACACCATTGATTGATAACTGTTGAATGGGGCAAAAAGCATTTGATATTCTAATGAATGTTTAACAACTTACTCATGATACTATCGAATACTTTTAAAACAGAAAAAGTTACATAAAGACTATATTTATATCTGAACTGTTATGTAAACTTTAATAATATAGATCAAAGTTAGATTTTTGCTTTTTTACTCTGGTCTGTTTGGGATCAACTTTCCTGCTCCCTAAATAAACATGGAACATTCATATTAGGCAGATATTATATGGCCAGCTTGATGCAACATTTCTTCTGTTGGGTTCATTCATAAACGGCCTGCCCCATTTTAAAGTTTAAATCTGTCTCCCCTTTGGTGGTCAAATATGGTCTCTAGCCTCACCCCAAAAATCCACGGTTTTCTCTTCAAGATCTCTTCAATTCCATGATTCTTTTTATGGAAAAGTTACATTATGTTGTCAAAATAAAATACAATGAAGAAATCAGATTTAGTAACACATGTTATACTTGGAATATATTTTTTATGCCCATGAATTATACTTTTTTTCATATTGACTCTATGTGTCTTTGATGCAAACTATGGCAATTTTTATTATTGCTAATTTTCTTTAAATCCATTGGAAGATTTAATTCAGCAGTATCTATTCATTTCTCTTCCTCCCACTCCTCCAAAGTTATAAATATTTTAGGACTTCATCTGTTAATTATAGATAATAATTAATTTTATATTAAAAATTATTGGATAAATTGTGCTATTATTGTCCAGAGTCAAATTCCTTTAAAGTAGAGTTTTTCAATCATTCAAATAACTAAAGGAATTATTTTATTTTCAATACACCAATGTCAGCATTGATGTTTAACTGACAGTTTTTTAAAACTGTGTGTTTCTGTACAGCCAACATGCTGAACAAAGAGGATAACATGGATTATAAATAGCACTGTCACTTAACACAGCTCATTACTGATATTTCAATAAAATCAGCTAATTTAATGAGTAACTATAAAAATATCAATATAGTATTAAACACTATGTAAATTTTAAAAGTCCCAAATTTATTTAATTTATTAAAATATAACCATGTTTTTTACTTTACAGTAAATGATATTTTGTGGTATTTTCTTAAACACCCCCTTCTCTTAAACAAGAACACTTGGTTTATGGATAAACCCTTTATCTGAAACTTGGGCTGGTCAGAGTTCTGGCTGAAATATGCACTACTTAACTTCAGTTTGAGAATCACTGTGTTTAGCAAGGTTCAGCCAAAATTATAAAAAAAACATTATGAGTTTAATTTTTTTATTTATAATATCTGAACATTTTCAGTGAAGTGTTTAGCCATTACTCACAAATAATAATTAGATTACTTTTAATAAATTTATAAAGTAATATTTGAATAAAATTACTTTCTAATAACCATTTTAAACTTATTTTAGTTGATTTTATTTTCAATAGAAAACAATCGAAAATTTGGCAAAAACACTTGAATATGAATCTCGGCTATCTAAGAGCCATGCTGAAAAAATTAAAAGAGATATTAGATCAGGTACTTTTAATACAAAAAAGTCACGTCCAATACCAGACATTTCTTGTATATACAAGGATCCTTTTAAAGACAGTGAACTTTTAAAAATGAAACGAAAGAAGGAACTTGAGACCGAATACAAGAAAAGGATGTGAGTAATAAATTAATATTTTAGTAAATTAAAAAAGTTTATTAAACAAATTTAAATACAGATCCAAATTTGAAAAAAATGTAAAAAATATCTTAGAATTAATTGCATTAATATTGTTAATTACAGTGATTAATTACATTTATGTGAAATATTTAAATTTCAATACTATGTTTTAATTATTTACTATTTTAATTAATTCAAGATAGCAGCTGCAAGATAAATCTTAAATCTTTCAAGATTTATCTTGAAAGATTTAAGATAAGCAGCTGCAAGATAAATCTTAAATCTTTCAAGATTTATCTTGCAGCTGCTGTTATAATTCATGTTTAAAAAATATTTTATTGGGTTTACATTGTGGTAGATTTTAAAATAAACAATTTATGGAATTTAATATACAATCCTGGCTAAGCCCTATATGAGTTTACTGTAGCAAATTTTTCTTTTGTGTTAAATAATTTGTATAAAATCTTCTCCTGTACATGTCATTATTCTCTCTTATCAATTCTGAATATATTCCAATGTTCTTTCACTTATAAATAAGTTTTGCTACTTGTAATGGAAGTTCATAAGTGCAGGAACATTGGTTAGGATAAATTTGGACTTTTCCATAGTACCTTTTGTATGCATCAGGAAACCAAGAGCAGAAACTAACCAATTTTTTTTATCCAACCACAACCACTGTATTTTATTTAAAAGTTCACTAAACATGTGAAAATGATTTCAAATAAAAAAAGCACTGATATATTTATAAAAAGAAATTAATTTTAGAAATATTATAAACTAAGATTTATATATCTAAATTGTTTTTTGTAGTATTTTATATTATTTTATGAGAAAGCAAAGAATTCAAACTTGATTATTTCATATAAAAATGATAATTATGTATCGATATTTTTAAAATTTAAAAAATATGGCTGATATATCTTATTGTAAAGTCTTATAAAATTTTTAAAACATATTTGTCATTTTAGAAAAGAAAGAATTATTCAAATACAAAATATGAAGGAAAAAGTAACACCTAAATGCCAATGTTCTAAAGAACTTCCACATGAAAATGAAGTAAGATATTTCAAATAAAATTTTTATTGTATTCTGTTAAAAAAAGTATTAATAGTACTTATTGGTTAGCAGGGCATGAGTCAATTGATGCAATCTAACCTAAACCTGACCTACCCACTTGGGAAATCTTCTCTGAACCAATTATCAACCTAATACATGTGAGTTGGATTGCATCAATTGACTGGCACCCTTCTAACTGGAAAGTACTGTATAAATTAATGAAAGCAGAAATTTTTAATGAGTTTAAAATGTATAAATTTTAAAAATTTATGTTTAAGTATGCATTTCAGGCCTCTAACCATCATTAGTTTCCACTGATGTGTAATTTTTATCAGTGGCAACTGATCAACACCAAAGGCATAATGCAAAAAATGCTGCAAATCAGTAATATTGTTGTATGAGTAAAAAGCATGCAAGTCTTTTATTGCTTATTTGAGTGTAGACAATTGCTATTACAATCATAACACAGAAAATGGTAAGACGTACAATGTACTTTGAGAAGAAAGACAAAAAAATACTTGATACTAGAACAAGAGCATCTGTAGAATTGAGCCAGGAAGACAATTGGCCGTCCTGAGATTTGCTTTATTTTTTCTATTTTTTTTTGCTGTTGTTTTGAAAAAAATTTATAAAGTAATGGTATACATGTAAAAAATGTATTTTATTGGTCATTACACTGAAATAACTGTGTTTGAGTACTTACTCTGGTAGAAGATTATGATATAACAGATTAAACTCATAGAAACAGTTATGAGAAGAAAGAGCTAAAGATTATACAACTAGTCTAATGCTAGATAAGGGAGAATAAAAGGAAATGACTGTGACTAACAGTTCTTTAAGAAATTTCCATTAATGTCACCAATCTTTTATTATGTAATAGAGAAACATGTTACAAAATTTTTATGACATAACAAAAATATATATGTATAGATGCTACATTTATTAATAAGTTCAACTGTATTCTAACATTAGGCTGCGTACATACTAGGCATTTTTAAACGCATGTTTTAAAGAACCAAGAGTTCTACATAGGCGTACACACTCAAACGCGCGCTTATAGACTTTTCTTAAAACGCACGTTTTTCCGGCGCTTTAGTAAAACTCTTGGTTCTTTAAAACGCGCGTTTAAAAATGCCTAGTGTGTACGCAGCCTTATAGTCTATCTGCAATAAGATAGTTCTTGCAGTTTTCATTGAAATTCTGTATTGAATTGTTTTTGCAATAAAGCTTTTCCTCTTTTCTTTAGGAATGTTTGATTAAATTCTAGTTATTAAAGTCTAGGCAAACTTATCATTTAATTTTATATTTAAAGTTGAAATCTATAGATAACTAGAAGAGAAAGATAAACATTGTTATTTTGTCTTCTCTTTACATCATTTATTTATTGTAGATAAAAAAATATAATTATACTCTCATCAATACTTAACCAAGAGTGAAACATTTTGCATCTTACTATTTGTTAAGTAAGTACATAGCTATTTGCTACTTAATGAAATATCACACTTATCAACTCCAATTTAAAACATTAAGAATTAAAAATTATAAAAGATATTCTACAATATAATCTGAGACAATAATTTTTGTCATGTAATTGTTTTATTCTTTTATTAGTTTGAAAAATTACTTATTAAATGTTTTTTTTTACTTTTAGTTAAAGAAGTTATCATCAATATAAAATTGATTAATTTTATTAAATTATTTGTACTCTATCTTATTTATTAAAAGAAAAAATATATTAATAGTTGCTCAAAATAATCACAGTTTCAACTTTAACAATAACAATGAAGTGATAATGTTAAAGAAGTAATAAATTTCAGCATTTAGAAATGCTATGAGCATGACATAAAAATATCCAGCAATGAATTGTGTAACTTTTCCAGTGAAACATTAAAATTGCATGTTGCACCATCTGTTATGATATTTTATTGAAAAACGTTTTATATTATTATTATTATGTTGGGTTTTGTGAGTTATAGTCAGTTGACACCAGTGGCTGTGTACTATGCCAGAACAGAGTCGAGGCATAGTAACCAAAACAAGACAAAAATTAAATAAGTGTGTCAGTGTGTGTGTCTGTATCCAGGAATTTCCTAACAATATGATATGTATTCAATATAGTGGCCTTCTGTAGTGTGATGTATGTATTTCTATTCAATTGTAATGTTCCCAGGCTTTTGTGTAGTGTGTGTGGTATCACACCTGTACAGGAGAGAACGACAGGTACAATAAGCACCCTTTCCATCCTCCACAGATGCCTTATTTCCTGGGCGAGTACTTGCTAATTTTTTCAGTGCATGTGTTTTGTATATTGTGAGTGTTTGGAATGGCTATGTCTATAATGTGTGATTTTATTGTGTTTGTCAATGAGTGTGATGTCTGGTCTGTTGTGGTAAATTGTTTTATCTGTAATTATGGCTCTGTCATAGTACATTTTGTGCATGTTATTTTCCAATACTGTCTATGGGATGTATTTATAGTATGGTTCATGGATGTCTAATAATTTGTGTTTCTTTGTAAGCTCTTGGTGTATTATATTTGCTACTTGATTATGTCTGTGCCAACAGCTTGTAACCAGAAGAGATGTACTGTATAGTTTCTGGCTTGATGTGACATTTTTTGCATGTGTCGTTTGTGAGTGTTGTATCTTTGAGCAGTGCCGGCCTGAGGAAAGTTTTAGGATGGAGCGAGATCGTATTATGACGCCCCCCTTGGTTGCCCCTAATTTATACCCTTTAATTTTTTTTACCACTGAGGTGCCCCCTAGGACTTAGCGCCTGGAGCGGCTGCTCCGTTTGCCCTATAGTAGGGCCAGCTCTGTCTTTGAGTATGTGTTTTCTGTAGATTTTAGTATTTATGACCTGATCCTATATGGCAATCATAAATCTTCCATCTCCCCAAAGAGGCATCCTTGAGCTAACCAGCTGTTTGATGCAGTTTTGTCAACAAAATCCTGATCCAGGTTGTAGGGATGCCTGTAATGGAGCCCACGATTACTTAATGGTGTCTATGCTGTTTATATGTTGTGTCGTAAACATATGTTATGAGTGTAAATTTAATGGTGTGTTATTTGAATCTGCTTAAGTTAGTGCTTTACGTAACTGTGATTTTTCCTGTTTTTTAAAGAAAAACTCTCAGTGTCTGTATTAGTTTGTAGTATAGGTTTACTATGTCGATCAGGCCACGTCTGCCATCTTTATGTGGAAGGGTTAATCTAATGCTGATTTAGGATTATAATTATTATTATTAAAATGGCAAAATCCTTAATTTTGAGAGTAGAGATCAGCTTTATAAAAAATAATCGTAAATGCTTATAAGGAGTAAAATTTTCATTAAGTCTGACCCCACTTGAGATACAATACATATCTCTTCTATCTCCTCACAACATCTTAACCTTCAACCACCAAAGTTTAGTAGCATTAATCCCATTCATACACAAACCTCCCTGAAAAATTTCAGAAATTTTCAACAAATCATTTCAACAAACATTTTCAACAAAATTTTCAAAAAATGTAAAAATCTTGGGGGATTCAATTTTTGACTGATTGCCATACTTTCCATCTGTTGTATGTAACATGTGGGAAAGTAATAATTTTTATTTTTATTATACATGCTTTTGAATCAAGATGCTTTCTGTGGTCTCAAAATATATATAAATAAGTATATTTATAACAGGTCTTATTAGTAGTATATATTTATTGTGCATATTTCTTTAAATAAATATTTATACATTAAGCAATGAAAATTATTATTAATAATTTTAAATGAATTTTCTTTTTTAGTATTATCAAAACATAATTCGTAATAGTGCACTAAGTGTGCCAATTTCACCAATATCAGTAGAATGGATGAATAAAATTCAAAGTTTTATACCAATGCGATTAAAAAGAAATCCTCAGATGAAAGAATTTTTAGCATGTGAAATGTTAAAATTTAAAGATGAATATCAAATTGGAATGAGAGAGGCTGTGGGTGAGTAGTTATAAAATTATATTATTAATATATTGGCTTATGTATGATATCTATGGAATTCTTTTGGAATTCAATAATTTGTAGGGACAATTTTATTTAAAAATATAAATATATCTATATATGAAACTAATAGTTTAAAATTCAATAATAACACTGGTCTACATCAAGTTTGCTGACTCCAGGCTGACAGTTGATTATTAGTAATTTGAGGGTGCTGAACCTAAAAATCATATCAATTTTTCTTAATCAGGTTAGATTTCCCTATAAGATGGTAAAGAAAGGTAATGTTACATGTCACTTTACTAATGCTTTGGTCAGAGAAAAAGCTTTAGCTTTGAAATACCAATGGTGTGGTGAGAGCAACAAAACCATGTTAATGACTGCTATTTTTGTATGGTGAATGTATTAGGCTTCATTCCCTACAATATCCTAACTTACCCTATGCCATAAGACCTATTCCTCACTGCAATGAAATCCCTATAACTATTTTCACCAAATTTTTGAGTTCAAGCAATGAAGATTCAAGTGTACTTGCAATTGCAGATAATAATGATTAGGGTTTTGTGTTGTCAAACAATCAAATCAGAAGGTGCAAGCCTTTTACTCTAGCTGAGTTGAATGATCTTTATCTGATCTTTAACACCATGAACAGCATGGAGAAGGTTGCTTGGTATGCAAGTTTTGATGTTATTACAAACATTTTTTGCAACTTTGCAGCATACAACTACAAGGTTCTGGTTGAAACTTTGTTGACAGCTTTTCAGAGATTTAGGAGTAAACATGAGTGTAAACAAAAATTTTCTTCTGCTTCAGTTATTGGACTTCAATTTGAAAAAATTGTAGACCTATAAATTTTCACTGTTGTCTGCCTGTCCTTCTTTAATCTTGAGAATGGTGTTAGATAGATGAAAGTCAAAGTTAGGGGCAGGAGGTCTTGATTAACTATACACAAACTTCCATTTTGGGCTGGAAGACACGTTAGTTTAATTCAAAAATTTTCTCTTGAATAGAGTTAGATACATGACAGCATGACTTCAGTGTTAATAGGAAAAATATGATGTACAGGAGCAAGACACTACTAACCATTAAGTATTGATACATTGTGAGGGAAACTTGCAGCTCAGAATCGTGATGTTTTCACAATAAATAATTGCTTGTTATCTTGAGCTTTTCACTTTTCTTTCAAAGTAATTAAAGTAATAAAAAACTTAATTGTATGAGGAATGTTCATCTAAGTTAGCATTCTGCTAGACACATATATGTTAAAAAGATCAACCAATCTTGAAAGCCGCAGTTTTACTAAAGATTTCCATTGGATCTTACATTAAATTTAACACTTCTATCCTTGTTTTTATGGAATGATGTTATGGTAATATAACATGTATAACTATTCTAGATATGCATAATATATCCAACTAATGAACATTGTAGAAACTTTTTGTAAATGTGAAAAATTTTTATAATAAATTGTATATGTAGAGAATTTAGGATTGACATTTTTAGATATTAATGAAAAAAACATCAATATTTAAAAAAAAATTATAACTAGTAAAATTTTATAATACCTTATTTTTTTAAGAAATTTTTGCAGGTAAGTGATTTAGTGTTAGGATATTATAAAATTTACTATAAAAGTATTACATTACATATAAAAATGTAAACTTATAAATAAAACTAGCTGTTTGACGCAGTTTTGTCAACAAAATCCTGGGCCAGGTCAAAAGGATGCTTGCCATGGAGTGCCTTTCGAGCCCATGATTGCTTGATGGTGTCTATACTTTTTATATGTCGTGTCCATATGATATGAGTGTAAGTCTAATGGTGTGTTATTTGTCTGTTAGAGTTACTGCTTTATGAAACTTGTTTTTTGTAGAAATTTCAAACTTAGAAAACCTTATATTACATTCTTTACATAAATTTTTACTGTAAACTGTCATAATGTTTGAAAAAATTAAAATTTTAATATTGATAGATGTAAGAATTATTAAGAAAATAATATATGCTGGAATAAAATGTTTGTAAGTTTTTTAAAGTAAGGTATAAGGAATATAATTAAACCGTTCGTTCTTATATATACAGTATATATATAACTTCGTTCGTAATATAGATTCAAATTTCAGAAAATTTTAAAATCACGACATTTTCTTGTGTAATAATTCAGAGAGTATTCAAATCAACATATCTAAACTTAGTATTGTCTATATAAAATAAGTATATAGATATTTAGCTTAATCGTTATTAATAACAAAACAAACAACGAACGGTCACTACTCGTAACTGGAGGATTATTAACGATCACTCATGAAAAACTTGACTATTAAAACTGAAAAATACGCTTTGTAAAATCTGATTAGCTTTGATTTACAGTTTTAAACCTTGAAAGACTCTTAGAACTATGACAACACATAAATGACATAAAGTAATAATAAATATTTTAATTAACGTTGATTCTACAGGCGACGCAAAACCGCTGGCATGGCTTTTAGCGATCCGACATTTTGATATAAAAGTTATACATCGGGAATGCCGTGGGTACACAGACACATAGGTTATCAACTTCTGAAATTTCCGAACTTATCAGGGAGGATTAAGAAGTAGGTAGGTGGCAGTACAGGGAAAGAATTTTCTTTCCATAGCTATTCTCATGGTTAACAGTGGCGGACTACAGATCAGGTGCAAGAAGCGCGTGCTTGGGGCCTCCGAAAGATAGCAGCTTCAGAAAGAAATGCATTCTGCAAACTTCAGGCACAAATATCATTTTCATATAGACAAATTGCCGTTTGTCAAATTACAAACGGCTTTGTAAAAAGTTTTAATGCTTAATAACTGACCAATAAAATTTCCTTTTCGACTGTGTGAAAATATCTTAAGTTATAAATAATGTTTAAAATTACAGCATTTGTGCGTTTACGTACAGTACCTACTATCCAGTCAAATAAGCGCTGGATCTCTTGTCTACTTCAAACGAATAAAATGTTCTGCATAATTGGCGTTTTCAGTGTCGAATTTTTATACAGAAAATATTATCATGTAAGTATCCGTATATTGTATTATTGTTTATGCTATATACAGCATTTTTTTTAAAATTGTGATTATTGGTTATTAGAGTCGACAGCAAGGATTCATTCAAAACAGTAAAATTCACTGCATTAAATTAATTGATCAGAATATTTTATTAAGTAATATATTGATTTGATAGTATTACTTAGTAGGCCTATTTAAAACAAAGGGACCTCAAAACTAGGCTGCTCTTGAAGCACTCAAGTGCTTAATCCACTATGGTAGTTATATTGTAATTTTATATCCTATCAAAAATGCTTATTCAAAAATAATAAATCTTAATAAATCATTCAAGTTGGATTTTTTAATTTAAAAAAATGAATGAATAAAAGCGAAAAATATGATATTTTTCGTTATTGTTAAAAATATATTCCTCAACAATACGAAATAGTCTATTGTTGGTTTATTGTTGCTCTGCGTTATTGGAAGTCGAGTAACTGCGCTTAGAAAAGAAATTTTGCTTATTTCATTCATATTGCGATAACTTCAATTAAATATTGTAAGTATTTCGATCTTCATTAATGTATTAACTCCTGAATACATAAATACAAGAAAGATTTTGAGAATATAAACGCATATTTTTTAATATTCGCTAAATATACTAAAATTAATTTTTTAAATTCATTGTTTGCCATAATTTATTATTACTCGTTCACTTATTTTTATTATTTTAATGTTTTATTTATTATAATAAATGAATAATGTTTATTTTAAATATAAATTTTATTTTATTATTTCGTAAGGAATAAATAATCAAACAGTATTATAATTCATTAATTTTTAAATTTTTTTTCAAGGTTACGATGTTACTTTATGGATACCGACGATTAATCATTATCGGAGCCATATTATTTCTATCTATATGGCGTTTGTCAACTTTTATACACAGTCTGATTGGGATTGTTGTATATATTTCGAGAATAATATATATTCTGCGAACGAGTCGCCAATTAGACTTAGCTCGATCTCACGAAAGGTCGAGACAGAAGTTTTCTCACTATCAAAATGTGGATCGAAATCACTCAAATTCGAGTGATTATTATAATGAAAAAGAAATATACGATAAAGTAAATGATGAGTTGAGGAATTCAGAGAAATTTGGTTCAATTAAACCAAAATATTCATTTAATTATATTAGATATAAAGTATCAGCATTAGAATATGTATTAAGGATGATATTAACTGCAAAAAGAAAAACAGTTAAAATAGCACATCCAGATAATTTTAAATCATCTTTATCTATTGACAAGTATGAATTTATATATTCATTGTCAAATAAAGAGAAAGCAAAAACTGATCTTCGTGGTGTCAGTACTGTATCAGCCGCTTTAAAAGAAACAGGGAAAAGATCTTTAAGAGAAGTAAATGAACCAAAAAATTCAAAACGTAGGCGATTAATGGATAAAATGCAAACGAACAGTTCCATTAATCAGTTTGGTAAACAAAAGTCTCCTAAAAATGTGGAGAAAATATGTGAAAGCAATTATTCAATGACCATTCCAACAATATTAAAAAAGGTATCTTACCGAAGAAATCTTCCTCTATATACCTCTCTTCAAACAAATATACAAATTGCACCTATACCTGCTCATTTTCCTACATTAGAAGAACATAATAAAGATAGGAAAATCGAAGAAAAACGATTGGAATGGTTGTTATCTGCAGTAAAAGAAGCCTGCGAGATGAAAGATCGTAGAAAGAAGAATGCACCAACAAAAATTGCAACCAATACTGCTGTCACCACAACCTTATTTTCTATTGCAAATTCTGTTCTGTTCTGTGATTTCTGCTACTAGCAGTTCCAGTGTACCTACAGTTACATCATCTTGGTTGGTAACAGAAAGAACAATGGTAAATATGATACCTATTATTACTGTGCCGTCACCAAGAAAGTATGGATATAACTATTGTTAGTACCAAAAGAACGGTCACTATTTTGGAGGATTATTAGTGATCACGTTTGAAAAACTTGACTGTTGAAACTGAAAGAAAGTGTGTGATTAGCTTGGATTTACAAGTTTCAAGCGTGAAAGACTCTCGGGACTATGAACAATGGATAAAGGAAGGAACGCGTGACTCATTGCGTTGAATTCTAATTCTAACAAAAATTGAATTCGGGTGTTTGTACTGTATATAAATAACGTAACGTATTCGTCTAATTTTAAAAATTCATATTGTTATTACTTTTTACAAAATTCAATAAAAATCGAATATGGGGCGTATTTGTATTTTATCAATTGCTACATACATACAAACAGTAATAACATTCATAACTTTTATCGATGATTTTTTAAAATTATTATTACATATTAATGATTTATTTATGGTGTATATTTTATAATTTTTGAAATTATTCCGCGCCTGCTATTAACACGCTTTGTTAGCAAATCCGTTTCGGTACTTTAGAAAATATTAACTTAATTCAAACAAATTACCGCATTTCCTCAATTCTATGACGTGCCATACGTTTAAAATCGAATTATAATTGTTTTAATCAAGGAAAATTATTTACATAATCAATTTTATTCAGTAACTAGCTTACCCGTCGCGCATTGCTGCGATCTCAGAAGAAAGGAAATTCAAGCAAACTTGTTATGATAAAATTCAATTTACATTTTATCATTTTCATTGAAACTTATTATTATTATTCATTTTCATCGGGAAAACATTTCAAAGTGTCGTTTCAATTTTATTTATTTATTGGAGTGCTTTGTGGATTCACGATATTTTTTGTTTTTCCGTCTGGTGCGTGCACGAATAAATCGGAAGGCTTTTCGACGCGTGAGCCGGCCACATACAATTGTCCATGCGAGAAACACGGATTCTCCAAATTTAGCCCACACACTCGCTGCGATTGTCAGAAGTGCGATATTCCCCATTTTTATATATATTTTTAAATCCTTTATAATTTTAATTATTTAATTGCTCCTTCCTCTCTTCCTTGGCGTGTTGTGAAATTTCTGATAGTTGGATAATAAACCGTTTTATTGTAATTTGTCTTTTTAAATTATTTTGAGTCGATATTAAAATTTGAAAAAGGGGGATACCTAGATCGGTAAAATAGGCGAATTTCTTCCTACAACTTCGGTCGTTGTTCGGGGTACAGTTAAGATTTTAACGAAGTTCGAGCGAATACATAATTAGCAAAAAAAGTCGAACTAAAGTGATTAAACAAAAATTATAAATATCGTAAATAACAGTTCACAAATGCATATATAGAGATATTTTTTGAAAGGAGGAAATGGTCTTCACAATTTGAAATCGATCGAACACACTGTGCGCGAACGCTCGTGTAAACGCGCGCCATCTATCATAGGATAATTGTACTTCGTGGGAGTGTATTAAAAAATTAAAAAAACTTTTCAAAGCTTCATGGCAATCGTACTATGCCACAAACCTTCGCCGGAGTATATTAAACAACTTCCCAAAGTTTCACGGCAATCGGATAAACGGTGTGGTAATGCATGAAGGAGAGACACACACACACACACATACTGTACATTCATTTTTATATATATAGATAATAATGATCTATATTTCTCGCATATAAATTTTATTCCTATATATGTTTTAAACTATAATTTTTAATTTGTGAGATTGATATATTAATCTTTCTACTTTTATTTTTAGTTAAAACAGTCATTAACGTCAAACACAAAGAGGAACAAATAAATATTATAAGGTAAAACTTATTTTTGTAAAATTCTAATGACAATATAATTTATTTGTAAACATCACTATTTTTAATATTCTTTTATATTTTATGTAGTAAGTAAATTATTTTTTTTCAAAAATAATAAAAAAATGAAAACAACATATTTTATTGTAAAATAAATAACCACGAAGCTAAATACAATAAAGAAGAAACAAAAACTAGTAAAGTACTTTAACAGAACATATATCATCATAAACTTGAAAATGCTTTCCAGCTTATGCAGCTATAATGAAGATTACTTTAGGTTTAGCATTTGAATAGACTTGTCTGAAGATGAACATAAGATTGAAAGTGCTTGCATGATTGTGAGAATGATATTTGATCCATTTAAATCATTTATAAAAGTGCTGTAATTTTGTACAAATAACCCATTGATTATCTCTGTTTGAAAGATAATTTGAAATAGGGAAGCATGTTATGCAATGGGGTTGGTTTTATATGCTGATTTTAATTTCCAATGACAGATTAAAACAAAAGAATATTAATGGTTTAAATAAGTATTAAAATCATTGACCGTTAACAAAATTCTAAAAATAATTGATGATACATTACAATAACACAACTCATTGTTCTTGTCATTCTCTAGTGACAAGTGTCTCACTTCAAGCTTTACATTGCATTTCAAAGCTCAATGCAAAGTGGTTATCAAATGGAAAGATCCACATTTTATAGTTTTAATTTTATCTTTCCTTTCTTCTTTTTTAATTATATTTTTATACTTTAGTCTCATTTTAATGTTATAATTATGATTAAATACAATTATTTCTATTATAATAAATTAATAAAAATAGAAATCAGTATACAGTCTTCTGAGTGCATGTTTTTATCTATTTTCATTCTGGAAATACTTTTTAATTTATCTTTCATATATCTCAGCATTGCAAAGAAATTTATGAAAAGAAATATTTGATGTTTTCCCTTTTCTAAATTTGAAAAAAAGAAAAAAATAATATACTTTGGGGATTTAAAACTATATTTTCCTATGTAGATTGATGTTGTATTAACAACCAGATTAGTGCCTCTAATGATGAAATATAGAAATTGAATTACCATGTGAATACAATGACTAAGAACAGCTCTTTTTGAGATAGTGCTATAATCCTTAGTATTTAATATAAAGAAGACTTTGTTAATAATTCCAAGAAATTTATATTTAATTGGTGATAAATAAAATGTAATAATATCAAAACTTATATTTTAAAAATTTTGAAATTCAAAGCGGCTATAATATCAAATAACTTTTGTTTTCAAATTATTTGTTATATTAATCAGTTTCTTTAGCATTGTAGGGTAGAATTTTATTTTATCTAAAATAACTACTGTGACTCTCAGTTTTACATATGGTATTTTGAAATAAAAAATTTCTGGAATAATAGGTGAAGCTAGCCTGCTCAAAAATATCTTTCAGAATGGAAATATTAGCTTGCAACTGTTAGTATGCAGAATATCTGTTGGCCCCATGTATTTGCAGAGTGTGATGATTTTTCCCCTCATTAATTATATCACAATATAGACTGTTTCTTTCTCTTATTGTATCTCACATAAGTTTGTTTTGTGAGATGTTTGGATACAATAGACAGTTGGCATTATAAAACTATCACTTCTCCCTTTTCTACAATACAGAGAGTCAACAATAGTTATGATACATAGTACAGCAATAATTTAATGAAGTAATTTATAAATATTTCATTAAACATCATGTAGACATTTTGTGAATAAGTTCTAATTATTTATACTAATCAAATATTAATTTATATTTAAATAATTTATCTAATTTTTAATTATAAAACTTTTTAAAGATCACCATTAAAAATTGATGAAGCTTGGAGAAACAGATTCTGCAATTCTCTGAAATTATTAAATAAGAAACTTCATAGAATGAATCGTATATCTTATAGAATTCTCAAAATATGTAATAAATATTTGTCTACAACGACAATGCTGGAGTTTTCAGAAAGAAGGTTGGTTAATTATATGATTCATTTATGGTGAATAAAATATTTTTTTATATATTAGATAGGAAAAGATTAATACAATCATTTACTTTGTAAAGTTTTTTAACAGTCAATTATAAAGTTTAATGTCATGAAAGCTTTTTGTCTGTTAAAGATTAAACATTTTTACATTACATATTGAATTTTAATTAATTTTTAATTTATAACATGATAGAAGATAATTTCAAGAGAAGAATAGTTCTCTAACCAAATAATGGTTCTCAAGTAAAATATAGTATTTCACAAAATTCAAGAATTTTTTTCTGTAAAGTTTCTACACTGGAAGATTTTAGATTGCTTGAAGAACCATTCTTGCCCTTCTATTTCTCATTCTCATCATTTCAAACTGTCTTTCTCCAAATGCTTCCTTTATTGGCCTAAAAGATGATAATTGTTGGGAAAACAATTTAATAGAATAAGGTGACTGCTGTAGTATCTCCAGCTTAAATTTTGTGATTGTGGATGCCTTTTGATTTGAAATATGGGTAAAAACTATCATGTTCACAGACAGACTTTCCAGGCTGTAATTCATGGCATTTGCTTTTGATAGTGAGTTTCAGTTGATAAGTCAACATATATCATTATTTACTGTATATTCTTTGTCAGGAAGTGTGTCATGGTGCATGACTCAATATGAATGCCTATCAAATGCTGCATTTCCTGCTGCAAATGCCAACAGGACATGTGTATCTTCTCTATACCAAAACACATGTTGATATCATCTACATTACTGTAATGTTAAAACAAAATTATTGTTTATATATTTGAATCTTATATGTATATAGTTAGAATCAATAATTAATAACTATTGTTATTTTATATATTACAATTAAATATGCAAGATACATTTTTTTTAATGAAAAAAAAATAAACGTTTTCAAATAATGGCTGTAGAATAAAATTCAAATGTCTAATGACTGTAAAATTGTTATAACAGAATATAAATACAGTCAACCCCCTATAACGCGGTAGATATGTTCCACTTTATAAGAATTTCGCGTTGTAGGAATCCTCAAATACATGAGCCAATCACAGCCTGGCACGATTGCAGTTTATGCACTACGGATGTTTGAAAGGTTTTCTTACATAAAATTAATCGATTCTAGACTAATTTCACTCAACATTTCCAAAACAAATATAATTTTTTGGGAATAATCTGTATAAACTATGCTATAAACAAAAAATTGTAGGATTACTTACCAAGTGTGCACTGTTTGACCATGCCATTGCTTAAGCTTGTTTTTGTCGCGGAGCAGCGCAGCAAACAACGGCCACGTTTTCTGATAAGTTATTTTTCTGCAAAAAATTTGTTGAACTTTGGAGAAATCATTAATAGAAATAATTTTTATGACTGTTGAATAAGAAATGTTTTTTCACAAGAAATATATAAAATTACAGTACTGCATTAGACTTACAGTACCTAATTTAGGCCTATATACTGTATAGACGATAATAAACTCAACTTACCCGCCTAAACTCTCTGTAGCGTGTAAGTAGTTCGGCTGCTTGTCCACTATTGGTCCAGATTTGACCGATCTTGTCACAACACGAGTTGGCGATGATGTTTTACCGCATTTTATGAGTCTCTTTTAACGTCTTTATATGAATACGGTCACAATTTTTTTGCCGCAATATACAAATCCGCATTATATGAACCCACGTTATAGGGAGGGCTACTGTATTTATTTTATCAATGATATTGTAAAATCTTTTTTTTAATCAAATTTTATCTCTCAAAAGATTAAAATTTTTTCATGTTTTCTACATTATATTTTTTAAAAATAAAATCATATCACATAATATTGACTCTTGTTGTTAACAAAGAATTAGAAATGTTATATTAATTAATGCTATTAATAAATGGAGAGGAGACTATACCATTTACAAACAAAATACAGCATGTTACATTTGTGGAATTGATATGTGAACACAGAACAAGGTAAGAGTTAAAGAATATATAATTCTATTCAGTCGAAAGTCAGAACCAGAAAGAAGAAAGAATAAAGAAAGGAAATCACTATTAATCATTACAGTTAATGATTCCCTAAGGAACAGTTACTTACCATCAAAGTACAAGCAATACAATCATTATATAATAGATTATACATTTAATTAATTTGTAAATACATCAAAAACTAAGTAGTTTCAACTGTTGCATTCCAACATCTACAACCCCACACTATAATTTTTAAAATATAGTAAAACCCTGCTTAACGTGGGGGGATGCATTTTTAGGTGACAAAGCACTAAGCGAAACAGCGTTAAACAAGGTCACTTTAACACAGAGTAAATAGGGAAAGGGGAACATTCTACCAAAAATAAGCAAATTTTACTATAATTTTAAGTTATTTTTATATTAATTTTCATAATAATATATGTTATATAACACACAAACATATGTATACAGAAATGTAAAGTTTATTTTTTGTGACGAAGGTCCTGGCTTTTCTGAAATTCTTGTTTTTTGTGATAAAGTCATAGTTTTGTTTGTCACTTTTTTTTTCTTTTCCTAAGCAAATGTCAGTTGCAGGAGATCGAATCCAAAATACCTCATCTTGCTTTTGCACTCCTTTCAAAATCTGAATCATTCACTACAATTTGATCAACAATTTTGGTTATCATTACCAAACTTTTACTAAGGAAATTTGTAGCAAGTTTTTTGGGTACTTCATTTTCAGAATCTCTATTTTCCAGTTCTACATGAATTCCTTGTTCTGCCAGTTCTTGAAAGTCATCTTTGGTAAGGCTCTCACCAGAAACCTGCAGTAACTCATCAATATCCTGCTCGTCTACATCTTCTAGTCTTGCTGCATTGATTAGGTTGACAATTTAGTCAACCTAGCGATACAGTAATAGGCTCTTTTCATTGAAAATTCTTGGATACCTTCAGCCATAACTTCTTCCACATTCCGTTCATGCATTTATCAGTTAATTCTTGCCAAGCGAAGTTGATATTGCATGATGTTATATTTTTTCCAAAATTGCACAAAACAAACATAGATTTAAGGAAAGTACAGTGCTATGACAAATTGCCACCTTTTGCTGATTGGTTCTTGTTTGGGAATAATTGTGTTATATATGAATCAACGAAATGCCACGTTAATTTGAATCAGTGTAAATTTTGAGCAGTTTTTAGGCTTCAAGCAGACTGCATTATATTGAATCTGTGTTAATCGAAGCAGCATTAAGTGGGGTCTTACTGTATATACATTAATCTATGATATTAAAGTTTTTCTGTCTTATTATATTCCACTTATTCATTAGAATTCAGCGAATTTGAACTCTCAAAAGTTTGAGTGACTTATTAACTTTCTGCTTCTTTCAAACTGAAACATAATAAGTTATCTTTAATTTTTCTCTTGGTTTGCTATAAAAAATCATTTCATATTCAGGATTTTGAATAAGATTATAAAGAAATAGTTTATTATTATTAATAGAATATATTATCCTTAATTTTTATATAGTAATTTAATAATAAAACTATGAATATTATATCAATAATATATTAATACTAATAGAAAAATACTAAGAATTTTAAAATGAATATTTAATTCTTCTGTTTATTAATTATTTAATACAGTTTACAACACTCAATGACTATATCTGAAATGCATGAAGCAATCCGACGTGAATGCAATAAGGCAGAATTTGTATTAATGGATGAGTAAGTTTCTTTTATTTTTACTATTTTTTTTGTACAGATTTAAATATTTTAGTAAAAAATGATTTTTGAATTTTATTGAAGTAAAGAAAATAGAGTGAAAATTTATTGACAAAAATTTAATATACTGTATATTAAAGCAAAAATTTTAAATAAAAAACTCATATAATAAACTCATACAATTGTTAATACATAATCCTTGATCAGATTTATTCAAATATTTTTAGAAATCATAAATATTATCTTCAGAAATATATCAAATTGAATTCAAATTTTATTAGATATTTAAAAATCCTTCTTTTTCTGCATGGTATACAGCTTTTCTGTTTATAGTATAACACTGTGGTAGATTGTATCATACGTGCAGTGGTGATATTCGAAATATTTAACAAAGGGTTCGCTAACAGAAAATTTTTCCTTAACAATTTTTTTTCGCTCAAATGGTGCATTAGCAATATTAGCGCAAAAACTGACCTTAAGATACCCCTATAAATAAAAAAGATGCGTTCGCAAAATTAAGTCGGTCAAAATTTAACATTTTTTATGTTAGAACTATATATATAATAAAAAAGAGTGTTTGAAATGGTTTATTTTGTACATATTTTATTACAACACGTGTTCCGCAGCCATCTTGTATTTTATCGCACGCATGGGATTTTGGGATCTCTCTTGAGTCGACCGCGATTGAACCTTGTTTCCTCGTTTCATTCGAGATTGAAACGGTCGAGGGAGGTCACATCAAGGCGAACGGGGTATAAGGCTCTAGTTTAGTAGTGTTACAGAGTATAATATGTATATTTTAAATATATTTTTTAAAAGAAACAAAACCACTGAGAAATGTTACGTGTGTTTAACAAGGTTTGGGAAACTTTGAAAATGTTAACAACGGGTTCGGCTGAACCTGTGCGAACCCGCTGAATATCACCACTGCATATGTGTACTTTTATGTTGCTTTAGAAAATTCAGAAATTTAAATTTTATTTATAACTTTAAGAACTGAATAATCATTTTTTAAAATTTATAAATAAAATTTAAATTATATATATAATTTGATACTGCTTATTTTATAAGTGTAAATGTTTTTCTTTCTATGGAAAATTTTCATAGATGCTTAAAGTTTACCAAATACAAAACTTTTTATGGCTATAGTAATTACAAAATTGATGCTGCGTTTTTAACAAACTAAATAATTTCAGTATTTTAAATAATAAAAAAACCACTTTAGAATAATCTTTGAATGATTTGATTAAATCATTAAAAGTTAGGTTTAATTAAAATTGAAATGATCATAAAGTATGATCATTTCAATTTTAATAAATTTTTTATATTTTCACATAGATAAATAATATAATCAGCTGAATAGAACATATATACATTAAATAGAATTTTCAGAGAAAATTCACAAAATATAAGAAAACACTACATAAATAGTGTCTTACATCTCATCCTTGTTGAACACCTTAGAAATTTAACAATTCTATGGTGGAGTCAATCCTTTTATGGATGTTACTCATTCATCTCAATATTCAAAAATTTTTAAAAAGTTACCCTTGGTGATGGCACAATCACAAAAAATATCAGTAGAGTGTCTTTAAAATTTTTTCATTTACTTTTTAAATTTTGTGAATTTTCTACAAATTGTTATCTTAAAAATAAAAAAAAAGATTGTATAGAATTAATAAATTTATTTTTAGTGTGAAATTGTAATTAAGTTGTATTTTTACAAAACTGTTTGTTTTAAAAATTCTCAAAGAAAAATTTAAAATGAAAGATAATTTTATTATTAAAGAAATGTTTTTAATCTTTCTATTGTTCTATAAATTATGTAATAAATACTCTTTTTCTCTATTTTATATGAGCATCTGCATGTCATAATGTCATCTGCATGACATAAGTTTCATTATATAATCACAGTAATTTTAAATTTTAAAGTTAACTTTTTCTGAATACATATAAATTTAAAATGAAAAATTAATGTATCAAAGTAAACATACTGGTATTATATAAAATTATACAAAATACAGTTATGAAATTGCTTAAAAGATTTAGTCATAACTTTACATATAAATCTTTCTTTCACATCATTAATACTGATGTATTTATGGTCATTTGAATACTTGTAAATCACTATTTTATCTAGATTCTTATTTTAGTTAGGGTTGCTATTGGATAGAATTATTCATGCTCTGTCAAAATGAATGATAATATCTTGACTATTTTATAAAGTAATACTGAAAACATGACTATGTTACAAAGTAATATTACATTGTATAATAATTTTTTGTGTGTAATACTCAGACATCTTGACATATATTCTACATGTAAGATTATACTTAGGACACATATCAAGATTTGCTTGCCCTCTAGAAAGTACCATAACTAGGTTTTGAAATAGAGGGAAGCAAATGGATAAAATGTGCCAACTATTTGTTTGATTGTCATAAAATAGATGCCAAGTAGGGCAAAATTTATGACAGAAGAGTGAATTCTCCTCCTCCTTCTTCCGAATTCAAAGATCATCAATAAAGAACTTTCAACATTACTATGGCTTTTTATGTATATGGTCAAGATAATAATTATTTTGATAGAGCGTGAATAATTTTAACATAGAAATCCAGCCAAAGCAAGATTCCAGGAAAAAGTAATTTACAATCACTCATAAGACCAAAAATACATCAATTTTAATAGTGCAGAAGCACTTTCTAACATGAAATATAGTTGATCTTACATAAACAGGTTTATAGATGTAGTTTGTATAATTTTATGTAATAAGTTCAATTTAATGCAATATTTTTTATTTCAAATTTATAAATATTTGTAAAAATATTAACTTTAAAATTATTTTGATTATATAGAGTGCAATTTATAATTGCAATCTGACAATGGCTGTTTATGCAGTCAAAAGAGTCATTGCTAGCATTAAATTTTTCTTATATTATTATTATTTTAATACTACATACAGTAGAACCCCTCTAGTCCGCCCTCGGCTAGTCCGTCACTCCGGTTAATCCGACCGTGGTCGGAGTCGAAAACGTGTCCCGACTCGTTGGTGACTCACTGTCCATGGTGTTTTTCTGTGTTCGTTACAGTATATGTTTTAAATTGTGTGTACATGTACAGTTTTGTGTGTGTTTTCAACATGTCAGGAGTGAAACGTAAACACGTTACTCTTTCATTAAATGAAAAATTAGCTGTGCTACAAAGACTAGACAAAGGGGAAGATTGTTTATTTTACTTTTTTCTGATAATCTGACCTTTTTTGCGTTCCGACCATACCCCCAGTCCCAAAGGTGACGGATTAGAGGGGTTCTACTGTATTGATATATTATCTAAATATTTTTATTGTTTATGCAAATTTATTTACCAGCTAACTATTAATTAATCTTAAAATTTGCATTATTTAATATTTACTTTAATTATTAATCAATTTAAATTTAATTATAACGTTTTCCATTTTAAAACTTTGTTTTTTTTATTTAGAATATATTTTAATTTTAAAAATAATTGATGTTTATAACATACAAAAACTTTTGTATTAGATTTTTAAATATTTTTAATTTAAAAAATTACAGAACATGGTTTCATGACATTGTAAAAGTTCTTACAAATGATATGAAGAAAGCATTAAGTGAATACAAGGGAGATACTAGGGAAAGTTTGTTGAACTGTTGTAATACATTATTGAGTATCAAGGTTAATTATTATTATTATTTATAAAACATAGATATTAATTTTGTTTCAAATAAATATGGTTTAGACCATGGTTGTCCAACCTTTTTTCGTAATGGGCCAAATTAGAAATTTAGGTATATTCTGCAGGCCACAAAGATACTTTATATAAATATATAAAGTTTTAATAACAAATAACAATTACAAAAAATACTGTATTATTGACAGTGAAAAAAGGAATTACACTCACACAAAATAAAAATAAATTCAATGTGATTTTTAACATTGCGTTCCTTTTATATTGAATAATATTGTCAATATCTGCTTTTATGGTACTAGTCTTAATTCTAAGAATGTTAGATAAATGGGAATCACTCACCCTATTTCTTTCAGCAGTTTTGATGTTTTTCATGCACGAAAAGAATTGTTCACAGCAGTATGGATTACCCCATATGCATAACAGTTCTCTAGATAAAACAGTTTTCTAACATCAATTATGTCATTATGACATTAAAGTGTATCCAGTGAAACGAGAATAATTTTTACAACATACTTTACCAAAGAAAAAAAATATATACCTTAAAAATTTAGAGTGCAGTGGGCTGCATAAAAATATTAGTGGGCCTTAGTGCAGGCCACAGGTTGGACATCACTGGTTTAGACTCTTTAAATTAAATCTTTAGTGCAATAAAAGTTAATAATAATCACATTCATATTAACACCACAAAAAACTGGATGATTATGTAGAAACACAAACAAAAACCAAAACTCGAATTATATTTGTAACCTGAAGATGATGGCTTAAAGCTATCTGAAAGATTTTTTTTCAATTAAATTCACAATTTTTGTTGCAGTTTAGTTTTATTATAATTGAATTGATTTAATTTACAGTTGACTTCATTTTAATGAAATATGTAAAAATTCTTGTTTTATTATACTATTCAGATGTTAAATTCAAAAATTTTTCTAGAATATCAGTTAAATAATAATCTCTAAATTTTTTGCTTTATGTATTACCAAAATTCCCAATAAGTTTGGGAATATTTATTACACTGTGTTTGATGTATATGGTTATATATAGAACATCAAATACGTGAAGTAGTATTTAAAAGGTATTTAGCAATTTTCTAAAACATGGTTCACAATCTGAATTACTGAAAATTTGCATTGCATTTAATACTATGCAATATTATGCAATTATTAAAAACTACTAAAATTAACTTACTAACTAGAAGAGAAGAATTTATAGGATACATAAAATTAAATAAAAACAAACAACACAGAAATATAAGTACAGGTAACCCCCGTATAACATGGGAGCTACGTTCCAAAAAATTGCCATGTTATGCGAATCTGTGTTATACGAAACAAAGAACTAGTGCGAAAAGGGGGGTTAGGTTCCAAATATTAAAAAACATGCTGTTAAATCCTTATTTAAATCAGATTTATTATTCATTTTTTTTCATAGGTAAAATACTTATTTATTATTTAAGTAAATATTTCACCAGGGGATTATTCATCCTATATGATGATCTCAGCATGAGCATCATCAACTGGTAACAGTTTTTGGTTGCATTCGTTAATAGCAGTCGCTCTGCAACGGGAGAATGCTGCTGTTTGTAGGCATTTAGGAACGACAGTGAAAGAAAGATGGTGCCACCCACACTATCGATAGTATTGTGATGGAGGAATCTATAATTCTGAAATGAGCTTTTAGAAGCAAAAGGGTCCCAATTGTGAAATTTAACCATTAAATAGATTATTTATTGAATGAGCATTCAAAGTAGCCACGAAAACAATTAGAATGCTCGTGCGGTGTTACGTGGAGGTATAAAAGAACACACCCTTTATTACATTTCATGTTGTACGAGGGTTTACCCACTATAAAAGCACCGTGTTATACAGGGATGTTCCCAATTCTCGAACCGTGTTAGAGTGAATCCGTGCTATAGAAGTGCCATGTTATATGGGGTTACCTGTATATCAAACATCCTGAAGCCTGATATATGTATATGTATATGTATATATATAAAAATACGTGTGTGTATATATATATGCATATACATGCTTATGACATCACTGGACTGACTGGCTGGTGTTTTGTTAGATTGAACTGAACAAAAATTACATATAACTAGAGACAATCCAATATTATTTAATAATTCTTTAACTATGACTATGGCTTCAAAAAAGAATTACTATCTATCCATGAAAGTCTTGTATATATCAATTTTCAATAATCATCTTCCAGTAGGTCAATAAGTTTCCTCCAAAACCAAAACAAATTTATTGATAAATTAATAGTGAGGGAAGGTTGTCTTAATTCCGTTCTCAGTGCAGATCCTGATACAGATCTATTAATATGGAACACATGCTTAAAGTAGAATAACTGTATTGCATCAAGTCTGTCCACTAAGAGACCACCCCATAATAAGAAAAGTGTAAAAAATACTCTGTCCAATCAAGGAATCATAGTTTAATCTATGAATACATATCTATTATTAAGTCCTGTTTAAATGTATTGAAAATTTAATTATGTCTGTAGACCTCTTTCCTTCTCTAATTCCAATCTACATTTGGATTTATAAACAAATAAACTTTTATTTACTATACATGTTAATAAGTTTGATAGGTGGATTTTATATTTTGCATGAAAGTTAATTAAAAAATATTGAATATTCTATTTCATTATTATTATATTTTAACTTAATATTTTCTTGTTATTTTAATGAAAAATATATAAAAAATTAAATTTTCAGGCAAAAACAGTTATTGAACAAACTATTGAAAAGTATATGTTGTTATTTAAGGATAAGTTAGTGGTTCGATCATATAAGGCACCATGGAAACCAGTACTTAAAGTATCTCTGATTGTAATAAATAATGAAGTATCTTTAAATCCTACAATAGTCGAACTTCAAGAAGCATATTTAGCAGTTATTTCAATTGTAAGTTTTATTTTATTTTTTATAATTGATAAGCATATTTATACTTTATTAATTGTTTGACTAAAAAGTGAAGGTATAGTTTTTGAATGATATGAAGATATTTAGAGACTTGATTAGTCTCAAACATGGCACAAAAATGTTGTGATTAATACTCTATTTTAACCTCTTTCTCAAATTCATTAGAATGAGGACTAAGTAATTTTTAGAATAAAGTTAGAGGCCGACACTGAAAAAAAATTTGTTATTGTATAGAGCAGAGGTGGGGAACCTTTTTACCATTAGAGGCCACATTTAAATTAGGCAGCAATAAGAGAGGCCGCATAAGCTGATTGACCTAAGAAAGTGACTTTTGTGAAATTATTATAGTTTTTCTATAGATTTAACAATTTATTGCATTATATAGAAAAAATAAAATATAATACTACAAAATTTTAAATATAATATACATATAAAATAATATAAAAATATTATAAAAAAATACAATAAAAAATATTTTTTTATTCACTAAGTTAGTGACTTATTTGGCTTTGTTTTTTGTTTGACAGTAATTGTATATTTGGATCAAGCTTCGTAACACACAGCTTTAATTGATCCTCTAAATGTGCATCTGTAATTTGCGTTCTTAAATTTGTTTTTATTTTTGACATGAGAGAAAATGTTGTCTCGCAACAGTAGGTACTTCCGAAGCAGGAAAGTAAACGGCGAGCATGTTCTCGAAGGCATGGATATTCAACAGCATTTTTCCAGATTTCTATGGGATCCTTTTTAGCGTTAAAAAGGGATTTGATGATACTATCTTCCCCTAAATCAATTAACTCCATTTGTAGTTCTGCAGGAGCCTCGGATATATCTATTAAATGTGGTTCAAATGCCAGTTTCATAGCAGGAGTGTGCTCGTCAAAATCAGAAAATCTATTAGTATACTCTTCTATTAAACAATCCAAGACACCTACATATTCATCGAATATTTTATTTTCACAGTTCTGCTCATTTAACATTTTAGCTAGCTCCGGGAAGTGTTGTGCAGATATTTCCGATCGACAAAGCAATGTTTTGAAAAATGATAATTTTTTTCTAAACGCTTGGATCTTTTGCCACATTTCATAAATATACCTCGTTTCACCTTGCAGGCAAATATTTAAATTGTTTTGTTTTGTCATCATATCAGACAAAAATGCAAGGTTTCTGAGAAATACTTCATCTGATAGATCACATTGTTTTCCTTGTTCTTGATAAAAGTTTAAAATTTGTCGTCGTAAAGACAAAACTTTTATCAAAACCTGACCTGTTGATAGCCAGCGAACCTTGCAGTAGTATGGTAGGTCAACACTATACGTTTCCTCATCTAAAGAGAGCATCTGCCGAAATTCACGATGACGCNATCAACGCCATGACAGTTGCGCGAAAAATCCCGCCAAAGACAGTCATATTGTAACATGACGTCAGAATACTAGTCTGAAACGGACTCTAACACGCATGAGCGAGGCTCTGGCCCACAGACCATCCGTTTCAGACTTGGACACTCAATGTTAATTTTTTAAACTGTTTTTTTTCGTTTAGTTACTAAACGAAAAAAAACTGTTTAAAAAATTAACATTGAGTGTCCAAGTCTGAAACGGATGGTCTGTGGGCCAGAGCCTCGCTCATGCGTGTTAGAGTCCGTTTCAGACTAGTATTCTGACGTCATGTTACAATATGACTGTCTTTGGCGGGATTTTTCGCGCAACTGTCATGGCGTTGATGTACAATAGTTGTTTGAAACGAACTCTACCATTTTGTACTAGGTGGCAAAGGGCCGCACAAGAACCTCGCGGAGGCCGCAGGTTCCCCACCTAGGGTATAAAGCAATCTTAGTTAAACATAGTACCATGCTATAATTAGATGCTATATTACGTGAATATAACAGTTCTAATTATTCAATTATTATTATAATTATTTTAGAGTTGGTTTAAAAGAATATATAAATCTTTGAAGTAAATATTGTATTAGTTTACTTTTATTAATGTAAGAAAATGATGACTAAAATATTGATCTCATATAATAAAAATTCAAATTATTGAATTTATATATTTAAGAGTAATCATAATTTACTTTGTCATACAATTTTTTTTACACCATTAAGATATTGAAGAAATTTTGGCTAATTTTTATTTATGAAAACTTATCCTTTCTCTTAAAATTTATTATTTTGCTTCAGGTAAATAGCAGCATTAAAAGGTTACCAGTTTTGCAATCAGTGTTAAAGGAAATAACCCGTCCTTTAAAGATTAAAGTGTCTTTGGATGATGAAACTTTCAACTGTAAACAGACTGAATTGAAAACTTCATTGGAACCTTTTTGTAATGAGTTACAGGAAAGAATTAAATATTTTGGTATGTTATATATTTATTAAATAAATTTTTTTTACAGATTTTTACATTAGAATGATTTTCCAAGTTGGTCAATATTTTGAAGAATGATAGAACAAAGTCATTATATGATTTTTTATTCACAAAAATTTGATTCGTCTTGATTTTTAATGATATAGGAAAATCCTCATCATAGGCCATTTAGAAGGCAATTGAGAGAATTTTCAAATTAATTATATAATTGGAAGTAAATTTTCTGATTGTTTCTAGAATGTTGCAATAGCTATTTATCATATTTTATTCTTTCTATCTTTTTAAATGAAAGTCTGGAAAAATCCATGCCATTACTAACAACTGTCTATCACTATTTAAAACTAATTATTATGAGTTTTGTTCAAAAATAAAAATGTATATATTAAGATTTATTTGTTAAAATTTTCATATCATTTCTTTATGTAAAAAGAAGACTCTTATACAACATATAATGCTAATTTACAGCAATAGTAGTAAACTGAAATTATGAAAAAATAGAAATTATATATATATAGTATATACTATAGTATATATATATACTATATATAGAGTGGTCCAAAAGTAGATGGACAGTAGGTGGAATAAGGTTCATGTTAGGCTTATACTATATCAATGGTGTATATTTAACTTGGTTATGGTTGAAAAATTACATTAGTGATGCATTTCAAGAAATTAATACACAAAGATACTTGTACAAAAATGTTTGTTGAAGTGTGAAATGGTAAAATGTAGAGTTCAAAGCTGTGTGATTTGTGATGGACAGCACTTTGAGCATTTGCATTGACGAAATTGTATTGTATTGTGTTAGTAAATATAATTGTATACATAATCTCATATATGTATATATAATTATATAATTGCATATATGTATATGTAATCTCAATAAATGTTATCATTTACTGTCCATCTACTTTTGGTTTACCCTGTAAGTTGAGAAAAATGTGTATATATTATATACACATTTTTCTCAACTTAACTAAAATAATGCTAAGCTATATTCATACTGANGCGATATCGTCCCCGTTGAGAAACACTTATATATATACTATATATAGAGTGGTCCAAAAGTAGATGGACAGTAGGTGGAATAAGGTTCATGTTAGGCTTATACTATATCAATGGTGTATATTTAACTTGGTTATGGTTGAAAAATTACATTAGTGATGCATTTCAAGAAATTAATACACAAAGATACTTGTACAAAAATGTTTGTTGAAGTGTGAAATGGTAAAATGTAGAGTTCAAAGCTGTGTGATTTGTGATGGACAGCACTTTGAGCATTTGCATTGACGAAATTGTATTGTATTGTGTTAGTAAATATAATTGTATACATAATCTCATATATGTATATATAATTATATAATTGCATATATGTATATGTAATCTCAATAAATGTTATCATTTACTGTCCATCTACTTTTGGTTTACCCTGTAAGTTGAGAAAAATGTGTATATATTATATACACATTTTTCTCAACTTAACTAAAATAATGCTAAGCTATATTCATACTGAAAATAATTTTCTTTTGATTTCAGATAAAAAATATGAATCTTTAATTAATGGAAAATTTTTCAAAGAAGTTCATGAACTTGTATCTCAAGATCCAAAGTTTGATGAATTGGTTGAAGTAGTTATTTTTGTGATTTATATACTTAGTTTAACTTACATATTTTATTTCACAAAATAATGTTCCTTTTTTCTTACTTGTGAGAACTCACAGAACTTCATCAACATTTCATGGACCCCTGGAATTTTGAGAAACACTGTCTTAATAACAATTATAAAGTTATATAATATAGAAGTATTTCCAATAAGTCAATAAAAATATTTTCTTTTTATTTCATTACAATTATTTCAACAAGGTTTTACAGATTTTATATTCTAGACTTAATCATACCATCATATTTTAATCTTCTTCTTTTTATTTTCTGCACTGTTTAGCTATTTTAATATTCCTTCATCTTGTTTGGGCCTTTCTCTCCAAAGTAAGCATCTAGTCTCATTGTCATAAGTCGTTTGTTTTCTACTTTTTTAGATGATGTTTATATTTTGTTTTTGTTCATTACTTTTTGCAATTTAATTCTCTTAACATTTGATACACAGTAGAACTCCAATTGTCTGAGGTAATGTGGACTAATGCTACCTTGGGTAACTAGAAACAGATAGTCATGACCATTTCAAATAAAAAATTAAGAATATAAAAGATTTATATGGTATCACTTTTGAGCTTCTTTTTTACCTTAGTGAATTTATCCATATATACAATTTTTACATTATTTATTATACAACTAATATGTACTGTACAATAGTTTTAAGAATAAAAATGTGTGTTGTTGTAGTTATATTTTAATATGAATTGTTTATTTTACGTTGAATGTAAATAATAAAAGTTAACAGAAAGAAATTATTTTGCAATATATTGTAAAAACCTCCCATATCACGTGGTCTGTGGAGTTGAACAAAAGAACAGTTAAAACTATGAATAGTCGGCGTCACAACATGGTTTTATAAACAAAGGTTTATTGGGAACAAATACGCGACTAATGGAACAATGCATGATACAAAGTTCAATCGCATTACAATGATATTCTTACACTGATTATCTCTCTCCTGACCTTCCCTCCTTATGCGAAACCCTTCTTTTTTCCGGGAAAAAAAAAGAAATGATAACGCTAAGGTAACAGTAAATACACAGTTGGGGAAATGAGTATACAATAATACATACAAGATTTCCCTTTGGACCAAAAAAATTTGTTGGTTATGCAACACTATACTGTAGTTAGTCTTTTACCCTGTTTGGATGGCAATCTTTTTCTTTCTTGACTTATTTTCTCGACGCAAATGGATTACCTTTTCAATCCAAAATTTCTTTAATTCCCAGACAACTGGTTTTCTTGTACCTCTATTGTCCCAGTCCTCACGACCTGCAGCGTCCTCTAGTTACTCACATACGAAGAAATCCCACAAATGAAAAAAGCCTGTGGTTTACTCTTGTTTTTATACCACCTGCCAGCAGATGTTGCTCTGTCCCACATGACCGCACCTTGGGCCAATCACCACATCGCACACCCCACCAGCAGAGAAATGGTGGTACCAAGGAAGGAAACAGAGAGGGATCCGCACAAAAACAGACATGTGACAAACAGAAAACAAACAAAATAAAAATAAAGATAGGGAAAAAAATAATATACATAAATAGCCACAAAGCTACAATTTGTTATTATTTCAAATTTTCTTTTATGAATTACAAGAAAAGCAGTATGATCACTTAATAATTTGCTTCAAATAATGCAGAACTTTGCTTAATTGACTCTTGAATACTTGTGGTTCTACTGTTTTTTCAAGTTGGAAAATATAAAATCAATTAGCTAGAAATATGAAGCATTCATTTTATTGCATTTTATAATTTTTACTTTTAAAAATGAGTTTACAGTATCAAAATATTCTTTGGATATATTTTTGGGCACCAATAAAGAAGTTAATACTTTAAAAAAAGGCATAAAAGCTCCATTTTTAATTGAAAAAAGGAGCATTTTTGTGTGTTTTAATATTAAAAATTCATATCTTCTAATAATGAATTTAACTTACTAGATTTTATTGCAATGTAATAATATAAAAATTAATATAGAAATTTTAAAATTTTCAGAAAGTGACATTTTATCAAATTCTGCACACAGAGATTCAAGGAATCTTTAGTAATGAAGAGCTTGCTATATTTTCTGTTGACTGCAATAATTTGAAAGAAACTTTATCTTCTTTAACAAATGAATTAATTACTGTACTTCTAGATACTTTAACAACCATGCATACAGAAGACAATTTGAGGTATATATTGAATTTTTATGAAAATCAATTAAATAAAAATTTTAACTTTAAATTAAATAAGCAATTTAATTTTAAAAATAACCTTAACTTCAATTATTACATACAGTTTATTTTTTAATTTTAACTTGTGATTTATAAGGAAATGTTTTTATACACATTGTGTGTTTAGTCAGACCCAGAATGCAGGTGGGTTAAGTAGTGAAGCATGTAGCTCAATGTATTTGAGTCAATCTCTTCATGAAAATTTCTGAGTTAACCTAGACTTCAAACTGAGTTCCCAGAGCAGCAGGCTGATACCTTTATCATCATTTAAGATTATAACAAATGTCAGGTTGATGCCAGACATTTGTCATAATCTTCTATTTGTTGCTTTTATTAGCAAAAACACTACAGTGGATAATTGGTTAATGAACATAATCTGTTCCAAGACTTTGTTTAATTGTTCGTTAACTGATTATCGATTTACCATAGTTTTTATGGGAATTTGATTAATTTGTTCTGAAGACTCCAAAAAAATAAAAAATATAAATAGACATAGTGAGAAAGTATATATGTAATAATAAAAATACATATACACAGTCTTGCATTTCTATTAGATGTTTTTTCCGTTTGTGGGAGTTAAAGAATCTGTCCAATGTCAATTGCTTTTCTCTCTTTTTCAGGATTTTTTGGAAGTAATTAATAGCATTGTATTGTAGAGTTCTTCAAGCCTATTAACCTCATTCTGGTTTGGATGCCCATTGTTCTGACATCCTCCCACTTACTCAAAAGATCTTTAATTGCTTGACACTTCTTGATATATCTTTCATAGCTAAGTCTTCTTCATAGTTCTTCTTGTGTTTAGACCNAATATCCTATTGTTTTATATTTTAATTTTTATTAATAATAATAATTTATTAAAGAGAATATAGTAGGCCTTTGTTTTCTCCTTGATTATGCTTTAGGAGGGATATTAGATATATGAAATAAGTGAAAATAAAAGATATTTGTTTTATGGCATTTTCTTTTATGACCTTTATGACATTTTCAATAGTGTGCATTTTAAATATACAAAAGTAAGAACTCTCTTTTATAAAATATTACTGATTTTTGTGCATTAAACATAATATATATATACTAGTCTACTAGTGTTACCACCTGTCCAGTTTTCAATTCATTGTCCCGGTTAATTATTAATTTTGTCTGGAATTTTGTAGAAATTGTGATATTATGATGAAACAAAGAGTACTAGGCAAATTTTTTTAGAAATTTTCTTAATTTAACAGCAAAATGCTTCACACTCATGGAAGGTTAATTTGCCGCCATCTTATGCTGAACTAAATGACCTAATACACACGACACCTACCTGTTGACCCTTTTTTNACATCCTCCCACTTACTCAAAAGATCTTTAATTGCTTGACACTTCTTGATATATCTTTCATAGCTAAGTCTTCTTCATAGTTCTTCTTGTGTTTACTATAGACCTGTTCAAGCCATACTGCCTACAACATCAGACATCTTCTGCCCACTCTCTATCTTGGCTATTATATCTTGCTTGGTTTCTACAGTGAGCACAGTTTTTGACACTCCACTCTTTTTATGCTCCATAATATTATTAGTTTCTTTTTTAAATAATAAGTTCAGAAAAGTACTTACAAAAATTCAGTGTTGAATATATCACTGTTGCAAGTTATGTGTTCACAGATAGTGAGTAGGATACCTTACAAGTAAGTTTAAAAAGTCATACACGACTACTTTAATCCTTTTCAAGTCATACCGAACCAAAAAGTGGCGGGCTTGATAAAAGATGCCACGTCATGGCCGTTTATTTATTATAAAAAATAATACAATGGTTATATGATACGAAGTGTTGCTACACAATACAAATACAAAAGTTTATATAACACAAATCATTGCTACACACATAGGTAATGACAGGAAAGAAATTTAACACAGAGAACAGAATTCAACTAGCGCACAAAAAGTTATTTAAATGCAAGGCCCGGATGAAATTTGAAATTTGGTATAAAACGTTAACAAATATCTGATGAGACAGTTAAAGTCTTGATTTTGTAAATAAAAACTGATGTAAAACTTAACGAGTACCCACCTGACAGTCTGACGAAGACTATAAAAAATTATTTGTCAGAAAGGTAAACAAAAAGCTGGAATTACAAGGGAGAGTTTCAAAATTTGGAGGAATACTATCCAATCGGTATAGGGTTGAGTGTCGATATCTTCAGAGCTCCAAAAAGTTTCGAATTGTCACCTGGAGACAAAGAAAGATCAATTGGTATTCACTATCTTATGTCGCTTCTTTTTCTGTATGTTCTGTGTAGTGTTCTTTATATGAACATGTGTTCGTTGTCCAAACAAAAAAAATCTTTTGCGAAAGTGTTCATTATCTGATTTGTTCGTTATCTGAACTGTTCATTAACTGATCACCCACTGTATATAAAATCTTTACTTTTGTTTTGATCATTATTGTTTTTATAACAATGAAATGGCTTTGTGTAAAATTATTATATATTATTGTTAACTTTATAACCATATTGAAATTTTAACAGCAGAACTGATTACTCTATGGAACATATAATAGTTACAATATTGCAAATATCCTATTGTTTTATATTTTAATTTTTATTAATAATAATAATTTATTAAAGAGAATATAGTAGGCCTTTGTTTTCTCCTTGATTATGCTTTAGGAGGGATATTAGATATATGAAATAAGTGAAAATAAAAGATATTTGTTTTATGGCATTTTCTTTTATGACCTTTATGACATTTTCAATAGTGTGCATTTTAAATATACAAAAGTAAGAACTCTTTTATAAAATATTACTGATTTTTGTGCATTAAACATAATATATATATACTAGTCTACTAGTGTTACCACCTGTCCAGTTTTCAATTCATTGTCCCGGTTAATTATTAATTTTGTCTGGAATTTTGTAGAAATTGTGATATTATGATGAAACAAAGAGTACTAGGCAAATTTTTTTAGAAATTTTCTTAATTTAACAGCAAAATGCTTCACACTCATGGAAGGTTAATTTGCCGCCATCTTATGCTGAACTAAATGACCTAATACACACGACACCTACCTGTTGACCCTTTTTTTTCTTATCAGCTCTTTACAGGTAGTTCTTCTCTTAATTTAAGTTGCTCCTACACTACTCCCTAATTGATTTATAGCTGATGTACACGTTATTCTTAGCATGGTAAAGTAACATTGCGTATGCGTCAGGCAGAGCTGTAACTAGGATTTTGGATGCCTATGGCCAAGAATAAAGATTGCACCTTTTTAATTTTTGTTATTAAAAAAATAAATAATGCTATTCTAAAAAATATTATCTAATGACATTTAATATATTTTTCAACTATATATATGACTAGCTGCAATGACCCGCTTCACTGGGTTTTTATTTGTTCATACATTTGTATATAATATAGTTTTTTTTTTTTTTTTNAATATACAGTATTTTCCAAAAGAAATGCATCATAAGAAATTGTGCAGAGAAGCTTGTAGACAAAGCATTGGGGGATAGTATATAGTGTATTGATTATATGATGCATCATTTTGGGTCTGAAATAATGCCACATGAAAATTAATTGCACAAAACTGATGTAAAGAAGAGTAAGTTGGATTTAAAAAGCGAAGAAAAAGTACAATTTTTAAATAACAGATTTTACAGGTATTTTGTATGTTTACAACTTATATTTTACTTTCCCAGCTCTGTTACAAGGTCTGTTCAAAAAAAAAGACCAGACTTTTGTCAAAGCATGTGAACCATTGCAACAATCAAATGCCAGCAAATGGTGCCATGTAGCTGGAAACTCCAGTAACACAGCACCACTTGGTGGATTGTAGTATTCGGATCAGTTGGTGATCTAAAGCTGTCAAAGCAAACATGTACCATAACCACTCTGCGAAGTAAAGATTAAAGACTTTTAGGAACAACATGTTTGGGTGAAATTTTGCTTTAAGTCATGCAAAACTTATACTGAAATGTGGGCTCTGCTTCAGTAGACCTATGAAGACAACTGTATTTTGCAGGGAGGTTTGTGTAGTAGGGAGATTAATGTTATTAAAGTTTAAAAGTCAATGGGATGGGCAAATAGAGGGAATCATGTGTTACATCTCCAGTAGGGTCAGACTCAGAGCCGTAACTAAGATTTTGAACGCCTATGACTAAGAATAAAAATTGCGCCTTTTTAATTTTTGTTATTAAAAGATGATAATGTTATTCTAAAAAAAAATATTATCTAATGACATTCAAAATATTTTTCAACTATATATAAGGTAAATAATTAAAAATATATCTTTATAAATAACCTTTTATTATGTTTTTTTTTAAACAAAATATAACACATTATTTTAATGAATTTAAATCTAATAAAATTTGAACAATTTCACAATTAATCAATTTTGGCATTTGAAAGTGATATTAAATTTGATATAAAAAGTATTATTATAATAACGTTAAGAAACAAATATATACAATAATATGCTATTAATCTACTAGTGAATTTACAAACAGGTGTAGCGGTGCAACAAAGTGTCCCACAGTTGCCCAAATGACGTTATCTCAAAGAATAATAAATAAATGTAATCTTGATAATGCATTTCTGCGAATGCATTATCAATTGACACTTTCAAACAACTACAATATTATTCATTTTAATTTCTAAATTGCACATCTATTAATTCCTCTAATCATTTACTAGATTTTGACTATCATCGATTTCACTTTGTTACACAGACTCCAACATACATACTGCTGCTTATCAACATCATTATGGAGTTAATAATATCACTTTTAAATGCCAAAATTAAATAAATATCTAACCCTTTATTGGTATGTTACTGGTAACAAAACAAAAAATAAAAATTACTTAGTAATAAACATAAAAAATAAAAGTTTATAATTAATATATTAGATTGATGAATGTTCAAAATATTAACTAATGTTTATTGAATAACAATCACAAAATAAACTTAAACTAGTT